GCTCTACTGTCCAGCCCAAGTGGTTGGATGGTAGAGCTGGTGGGAGTGGGAGTGGATAAATGGGAACTGCAGTGAAAAAAAAGGGCCAACCATACCTTAGGAATAGTCAAACTGACCCTTGCCTTCAAGGAAAATAAAGTGGTTATTCAAGTGTACAAGTCTCTTGTGTGCCCTCATCTGGACCACTACATCCAAGCATGGAGACCCCATCTTCAAAAGGATATATCTTCTTTAGAGAAAGTTCATCACAGCGACAAAAATCATGCCAGAACCAAGTCATCTCTCACATCAGGAAACGTACATGGCTATAGAACTAGCTCTCTACATGACTCCATTCATTCACCAGCTCTCTTCATACCTACTCCCCAGCCATCCCTAGCTCTATAAATTCCCCTTTCCTTCCTCTCCGTTCACCACCACACCCAACAGGAAAAACAGTCTCTCTGGAATGACTCCTGAGGACTTGTGGTTCTTTGGACTTGCCAACGTTTAGAACTCACCCATATCTAAGAGTATCTCCTGTCGAAGAACACTTAGGCACGGGCCGTTGTGTGCTTGATGGTTTGGCTGTCTCTCTCTCGCGGTCACCTTCAGGACTGGTGATAGTCAGTCGTGAACCCTGCGAGGACACTTGTTAGTGGCTGTTATCTATATCTGGGGAGGATTATGGAAGTTGGGAAAGAGTGGGTGGTGGGGGCTGAGCTTGCTGGTCCCTGGGCTGGTGGGTCGTGGGGTCGGGCTTGTACTCCCCTAGTTTTGTTTGCGGGGGTTGAGCTCTGGCTCTTTGGTCCCGCCTCTCGACTGTCAACCAACTGGTGTACAGGTTCCTGAGCCTACTGGGCTCTATCATATCTACACATGAAACTGTGTATGGAGTCAGCCTCCACCACATCACTGCCTAATGCATTCCATCTGTTAATTACTCTGGCTGAAAAAAAATCTAACGTCCCTGTGACTCATTTGGGTCACAGGCCACTGGAGACCGCCTCCAGTGGCCTCAACGGGGACAAAAAGCCCCGAGGGCTACCAATTCCTCCAGGGGCTTCGATGGGGGCCAACGGAAGCCCCGAAGAGCACCATTTCTAGGGACCTCAACAGCGACAGAAAACCAGCGGCTTATCAAATCCCTTCCACGTCACGTAAAAAATATTTAGTGACGTTGTTGCAAGCAACGTGTTTATGGGCCGTGGACGTGCAAGCACTCGCGGCTGGCCTTGTCGGCACTAGAGGGCGTTGTCAGTCCAAACGTATTTGTTGTTGATGATATTTTGTTCTGTTTGTGTGCTCATTTACCCTTTTACTTCATACAAACTGGGTTCTACATTTTCGAGAGAGAGAGAGAGGGAGAGAGAGAGAGGGAGAGGGGGGGGGCAGGGTTGGTATTTACTGTGTCATTTGCGGGATTAACGGCATCAATTACAATTAAGCTCGCTGCCCTTCATAATATGACTGTAATCTGACTTATCTACTGATAGCTGTTATTTATCCTGGGTACAAGGTACCATTAGCCCACAGCTTGTCAAAGGTTCCCCCCCCCCCCCATTTGTCCATGTGATATTTTTCAAGCTGGATTTTAAGGTTCAGCAGAGTTTTGGCCTTTACGGCATCATCGGGTAGGCGGTTCCATTGGTTTATTTGAATTTACTCGAGGGTCACTAACACTAGTGGCCTCGACGAGGAATGGAAGCCGGCGGCTTGTCAAAAATCCCTGCCCTGATTATCTTTTCCAGTTGGATTTTAAAATTTAACTGTTTTGGCATTCTTCGGCGGGTAGGTGGTTCCACGGGTTCATAACCCTGTGGGTGAAAAAGCATCTCCAGTTTTCAGTTCTACAATGTGGCTTGTTGCTCCTTGTTTGTGTTACATCTTATCTTTTCAAGAAATTGTCTGGATCAGCATCCTCTAAACTGTTCAATAGTATTTAACGTTTTGATGAGATCGGCGTATTCTGCCTGGTTTGCAGTGTTGTTGGCCCTGTTGCCCTTAACAGTTCATAGTATGAGACTCTGTTCTGGAATGATTTTTGCTGCCCAGTGTTGAACTTTCTCCAATAAAGCTCTGCAGGATTACACCGTGTAGATCAAAACAAGCTATAAGTTCATCTAATGTCCCAATCTCACAGTATGGTGTCATTCGTGGAATCAAGAGAGAACATGGAATGCGAGGCTGATCTATTAACCTGCACTAGCAAAATCTGGTTACAGCACAAGAATATCTTATAATATTCGTGTGTGTATGAATTAGAGCTCAAAATACCTCATACCATTTGGTCTGAAACCATTAAGTACAGGGCAATCACATATATAGTTTAGAGAGTGTAACTTACGATCACGAAACACTGATCATTGTATGCGGCGAAACCACAGAGAAATGGGAAGGTGAATGTTAAACGTTTCAGCTGATATAAGAAACTTTCTCCGTTGCTAAGAAAGGCTCTGACCAGCCGAAACGTTCAACATTCACCTTCCCATTTCTCTCTGGTTTTCCCGCGTAGTTCAAAGAATATGTCCCAGCTCTTGTTCACATAGTTTACAATTGAAATGTTCACCATTGGGGGATTCATTACCTGCTATAGATATCGATATTCCAGTCTAATTCTGGCAATTACAATGTCACACTGTCTAGTGGATGTTTTATGCTGGGCCTGAGTGTGATTAGGAAGAGACTTCTCATTAGATATTGAGATGTACTTCTAATTGTTTCTGTTAAATGTGTATTTGCATTTATTGTCGTGTTTTTGCTACAATTACTTTATATTTATAGCAGATCAGTGCTATCAATCAAAACTATCAATATGCTTTAATATACTAATCCCTCAAATTTTTCCTACACTGTACCTGTTAATATTTTATCAATTTTACAAGAATTTACCTTCTAAATATTATCTGTTAGTTAAGGGCCTGCCCGAAACGCTGTGCGTACTAGTGGCTTTACAAGCATGTAAACACATCATGCTATGTATTCTTAGTTTAGTTTATTTATTATGCACCCCATATCCATCCTGTGGGCGGTAGTGGAAAGGGTTACAGAGGCACATAATGGGCTCAGGGACTGAACCCCACAAGTCATTTAGCTAAGCAAGTTACAATCTTGATTAGCTAGTTACAAAATTCATTGAATGCACATCGTCACATCAACAATGGGCTCGAGATCGACCACAAGTACAGTTTCTAAACTAAGCAACTGACATACGGAGAGCTAGTGTCACAATTTGGCTTAGCCAAATTCAAAATTCAAAAAAATTCAAATTCAAATGTTTATTTAGGTAAAGTACATACATACAAGGGGTGATACAAATATTGATGAATTTATAGATAGAGCTAGTACATATAATGCCTAAAGCCACTATTACGCAAAGCGTTTCGGGCAGAAAAAATACTAAAGACTTAAACTTAATACTAATTGAGATTAAAGTATAAAATGTGTTGAGAAAATATAAAAATAAAAAGGGGGGAACATGGCAGAAAAACAGCAAAAAATACAATTTCGTTGACAAACAGCATTGTTTAAAAATAACAGACATGGGTTGACATTATAGGGGCAAGGTAGGTTACAGGGAGTTGATTAGGTAGTGCTTAGTTTTTATCTTAAACTGGTTGAGAGAGGTACAGTCTTTAACATAATTGGAAAGGTCATTCCACATTCTGGGTCCCTTGATTTGTAGAGCATTTCTAGTTTGATTAATAATTATGTCGTACATATCACTAGTGGCACATATCATAGCCACATATCACACATTGAGGAGCTGGTGGCTTTACAAGAATGTATAACCTCAAGTCTCTCTACTCTAATAAACCCAATGAACCTTCTTGTATAAGTAAGTAAGTAAGTAAGTAAATAAGTAAGTAAATAAGTAAGTAAATAAGTAAATAAATAAGTAAATAAGTAAATAAGTAAATAAGTAAACAAATAAGTAAATAAGTAAATAAATAAATGAATAAATAAATAAATAAATAAATAAATAAATAAATAGTTAGTTTAGTTTAGTTTAGTTTAGTTTAGTTTAGTTTAGTTTAGTTTAGTTAAGTTAAGTTAGCTTTGTCCTGCCCACCGCCCCCCATCCAGTGGCCAGCGATGGAGAGGTAAACAAAGTTGTTGGTCAGTCAGTGTGTTGAGCGACGCCGGCGGGGATAGGCGGCTCCTGGTAGTGGGTGAGATCATGAACTGTTATCATCATTCTAAATGAAATGTATCTATTCAATAGTTATTGTGGATGCTGCAGGCCCTTATGTATAATCCTGGTGTTGTGGTGGCCACACTGTTTGAGTTAGGAAAATATTATTTGTCAAACATGGATACTGTTCTTAAAAGATTTCCCCATTTTTGCACCCACAAGATAAAGTAAGTGCTTAAGGGTTGACAAATGTTTTAATCCTCTTGTTTGATAAGCTGTTCACTTGAGACAGTTAAGCAAGTCCCAGCTGTGTCTGGGTACAAGTGACAGGATGAACAACCCAGCGGGTTTTCTTCCTATTGGGGAGTGTTGTACATGCTGCTATGGCGGTGTGTCCACTCACAGGATGAGTGACGCTGCCCAATACTGTCACTATGGCAGTGTGTCCACTCACAGGATGAGTGACGCTGCCCAATACTGTCACTATGGCAGTGTGTCCACTCACAGGATGAGTGACGCTGCCCAATACTGTCACTATGGCAGTGTGTCCACTCACAGGATGAGTGACGCTGCCCAATACTGTCACTATGGCAGTGTGTCCACTCACAGGATGAGTGACGCTGCCCAATACTGTCACTATGGCAGTGTGTCCACTCACAGGATGAGTGACGCTGCCCAATACTGTCACTATGGCGGTGTGTCCACTCACAGGATGAGTGACGCTGCCCAATACTGTCACTATGGCAGTGTGTCCACTCACAGGATGAGTGACGCTGCCCAATACTGTCACTATGGCAGTGTGTCCACTCACAGGATGAGTGACGCTGCCCAATACTGTCACTATGGCAGTGTGTCCACTCACAGGATGAGTGACGCTGCCCAATACTGTCACTATGGCAGTGTGTCCACTCACAGGATGAGTGACGCTGCCCAATGAACTCGCCCCTTGGGGCAAAATTATAAAAAATTATAGACACATCTCAAAAGGATAGAGTAGCTTAGGCTATTTTTACCCTCCAACTGGGGCCACGGCAGGTGTTAGGGGATGTTGTTGTGACCTCGGCACGAGTCTTGAGTGTACTGTAGCAGTCGTGAAGTTAGTCTGCCGGAATCTAGGGGATACTGTTTTGGTCAAGAATGGGTCTGGGATGCTACAGTGGAGTGTGGTCAGGTCGTACACAAGATAGTTCGACAAAGTTTATTTTCTGGTTGTCAAACTGTATATATTATTTGGTTTTGATGCGTTAGCATTAGTTAGGCTCAACTGAATTAGGTTAGGGCTAGATAAGGATGGATCCAACCTTACCGTAAATTGAGGTGAGATTTTAAAAAATCTTAGATTTGTAATAGATTTTAAAAATCCATTTTAAAATGGACAGATTTTAAAATCCATTGATAGATTTGAGTGAATGGGTAGATTTTATAATCCACTGCAAACCGTCTTGTTTGTGACGTGACGCAACCACTGTAGTGGCCATGGAACAATCGTGGGTTGTGCTGAAACAGCCATAGCAAGAGTCTGTGGTCCGGTGCACTGAGACACCACAGCAGGTGTCTTGAGTGTACTGGACCACCTGAGACACCACCTGCGTGTCTCGTGTGCTTATTATATTGATTCATGATGCTGCTAACCATATATCATTTCCTGTGGTGATGTTTTAACAGGAATGAAATTAATGTATCTTGAGTGTAGAACACTGGTTTTACTAATCAAGACATTTTTAAGAATATTCTCTTCGAACATGATGGTTTGTCAGTAAATTAAAAAATCTTGACCACTTGACTTGACCTGAAGACTTGACCTGACTCTTGACCAAATCAAACACCATCTAACCCAACCCAGCTCTGCCTAACATATATGAATACAATTCACATCATACACTAAACAGTTTGCCAACAGATTTGAAAACTCACCTAACACATTCCAACCCAAACCAACTTAACCTAATCTAACTCAGCTGAGTATAACACAGACTAACATGAGCCAATGCATCCTAACCTAACGATGTGTAAAGTTTCAACATTCAGAAAATGAGCTTTGTTGAGCTGTCTTGTGTATGATTTGACCATATCCCCCAACATACTGTATATAGTTCCTGAAATTATAAAGTGTTCTTTGCAAAATGTCTATATTTTAATAATAATAATAATTCATTATGTCAGGGGACAGGAAGCCAGAGTGTATTCATACATGTTTGGCTGTTATCGAGGTCCCCCCAAAGGCGAATTACTGACCTCGCCCAGGATGCAACCTCACAACAAGCTGACTAACTCCTGAGTACCCACTACTCGGTGAACAGGGCATTAGATGAAAGTAAATATGCCCAGCCATTTCTGTCCAACCCGGGATTTGAACTCGGAATTCTTGATTGTGCGTCGAGAACGAACCCGACTGTGCTACCGGGACCCTTAAAATGCAAATTTATGTGGCTACAGGTCACTTTGTATACAAAACCTAATCAAACATAGCCTAATTGAACCTAACCTAATGATATTTACAGATTTAATAATTAAAAAAAATGCTATTTGAAATTACTAGACTTGATAATGATCCAGGACGGATTGAAACATCTTCATTTTCTGATGGGTGGTTTGGTCATACCTTCAGCCATGGTATTGTGACTCATTAACTGCTTATGTTTGAAATGCCTGTGTACTATTTGACCATGCCTTGGGAATGGGATTGTGCCACATATTATACACTTGTAGGCCTAAAATTTTATGTTGGTCCCCCTTCATGGTAGTCATTGGAATAGGGTTTGGTAAATTAGTAAAACAAAATTCAGCACGTTTTATTCAATCTAACTCCTTTTATCACAAATGGTGATGTTACAGATGTAGATTATGCATGGTAATTACTGTACTAGTTATTACTGTACTTGTTTTCCATTCTTTATTAGACAGCATTCTATATTGGAGAAAGGTTGGCACTCTTTATTCAGGAATACAGTAACATTAATACAATGTTAATGTTAAAGGAGTAACAATGCACATTACTAAATCAATATTACCTTGCAGTAGATGATATCCCTTCCTCATTAAGAAAATGTGTGCAGTATGGGAAGAACTGCAAAAATTTGTTGGAGAAACTCACCCAGATAAAGCTGTAGCAGGCTGTTGCATTAACCTTTTCAATGACAATGCGATGTCTCACCACAGACAAGTATTAAAACGTAGGGAAAACTATTGTCTTTAGACATTTTTAGTAAGACAAGCAAGCAGTGAGCCACAACCAGGTCCTATTGGTATGACTGCCAAACATAGGAGAGAGTGAGTACCCCAGAAATGTCATCAGTGCCTGATGTTATAATGGAGGGGGATTTCCCTTCCAAACACTAACACCTCTCCTCCCCTCCTCACCATCTTCCATAGGCCTTACTTTGGTTGGTCATACCTTCAACAGCCAACAAGAGTCCTCAATAAAGGTAAGGTACTTGTATAGTAAAAAATGTGAGTAGTATTCTGTATAAAATGTATTTTTAAGTTAATTTTTTGGGTATGTGGAATGTATTAATATTATAATACTTCTTTTGTATAATTTTTTGCAAATGACAATGCTTCTTAATCTCCAACATTACCTGTTGCAATACAAGCATCTAGTAGGGCATGCTGGTGCTGCATTTTATAGTGGTGATGGTTACTACTGCCACAGCTCTTTCCACAACAGTTACTACATCCGCTTTCACTATAACATAGTACAGTACTTCCATGATTAGTGTTGTTGCAGCTTCTGTTATCATTTCTCATGCATATACACATACTCTGATTTAGTGTCAGAGTGGTTGACAAATGGAATGCATTAGGCAGTGATGTGGTGGAGGCTGACTCCATACACAGTTTCAAGTGTAGATATGATAGTCCAGTAGGCTCAGGAACCTGTACACCAGTTGATTGACAGTTGAGAGGCAGGACCAAAGAGCTAGAGCTCAACCACTGCAAGCACAAATAGGTGAGTACACGTGAGATGTAAATTAGAATATGCCCTAGTTGTATGGATCCCATATCTTATAACTAGAAAATATGTAAAGGCATGCTACTAAATGACTTCCAGACCTAAAATCCAGTCCCTGATGGTGTAGTGGTAATACTATACACTCGCCTTGTGAGTCATGCGTGGATTGATCCAGGTTAGAGTCCTGGCTAAGGAGGATTGACTAGGTACCAATCCTTGAATATTTATCCCTGTTCACCCAGCAGTAATTGGGTACTTGGTTGGAAATTCATTGGTGGGTTGTATTCTAGGAAAAAATTAGTAGGGTAAGGCTTACCATGAGCTATGGGAAGGGAAAGCTCTCAGCCTGCTAACAGGAGTCAGTCATTTGTTCCTGTCCCCAAATGTGTGTAAAAAAAAAAAGCTTTGAGGAGAGACTTTTAAGAATTTTTTCAAAATTAGTGGACAAAAAAATTAGGTGATCAAATCACCATACTGTATTGTTTAAATTTATAACATGAATTGACAAAATTCATAAGCATTTTTTTTTATTTGCAGCTTTTAGAACAAAAGGCTATAGATTAAAACTAAAACTGAAGGTGCTGAAAAGATGTGCATAAGTACTCCTTTTTATAAATAGGGTGGTAGATGGAATAATTGAATTCAGAGGTTAGTGTATGTCAAAACCATTGGAATATCAAAATGTCCTGTTACAAAGATTATATAGAATACAGGACAGGATAATTGTTTACACATACACACACTTGCAAAACAACAAGCACAGTCTCCCTTATGGTATTAGAATGTTTGTTTTCATACAACTGTATTTCTGACTTTCTAGCAAGGTACACGAAACCAGTATCATCTTCATCCATCACTAGATCCTGATTGGTCCAATGTATTGTTTGGATAAATATCGGATGAACTTTTGCAGGTATGTTAAAGGTAAAGTTGACTTTTTTTGTTAAATATTTTTGCCATGACATTGGCTCAAAAGAAGTAAAGATAGATGGCCTGACCCCTATTTGTGTTTTTTTTAATTAACAGAAATAAATATAGAAACAAAAGTTAAACAATATTGATATTGTGATAATAGTATACTGTAATAATAATAATAATGAAGGTGAGGGAAAAAACCAATATGTTATTTATTTACTTAGTTATTTATTTATATACAAGAAGGTACATTGGGTTTGTGAGTGTACATAACATTGGTGCTCTTACATTCTTGCACAGCCACTAACACGCATAGTGTTTTGAGCAGGATGTATAATTGTATTAAAATCAAATTTTTGGATGTAATTTACATCCTTACTGTACAGTACTGTTTACAATGTTCTAATCAATTTTAATTCATTGTGTTGGACAGGCAGCCAGAGTGTATTTATACATGTTAGGCTTATATTGAGGTCTTCCCCCCCTTCCCCCCTGACCCAAGGTAAAATTACTGACCCTCCCCAGGATGCAGCCCCACAAGAAGCTGATTAACTCCTTGATACCTACTTACTGCTTACTGATACTTATAAAATGATATTCGGGTGCAGGAGTTTCGGAAGTTGAACAGGGTTCTGGTACCCAGTATCTGGTCAACGTTCGCTTCCATTGGCACCCTTGTGTGGCCTTGGGCCTTGTCTCGGCCAAGTGTCTCCTCTTCGTCTTAACTTTTGGGGTACTTCCTTCTTCCTTGCTAGTTCATGTGTTTTCCTTCTTCATGGGTAGTTAACTACTGGGAGCCACAAGGGGCTTCCCCCAGAAAACCAGCATTGAACGGAATGAAATGCCAGTTTGTGGGTAAGTTCTAGTGACTCCCTGATTACCTTCCCCCCTTCCTTACAGGTCGTCGGGTGGATGCCTACATCTGACATAGAACTGAGCTTGGAGATGCCAGCTGGCAGTTGACAACCTCCCCTTCTCCCAAACAAGGGAATGGAAAGTTGGGCAAACGAGATTGTGTTAGTTTCGATAGAATTCAATCATTTGCTTACATAATAGGGAGAGTTCTTTCAGCTGGTTTTGAGGTCTTTATTGAAGCCAGTAGTTGTTTGTTTCAAGTCAATGGACTTTCTGCTTGCTTTCCTGGTGTGGTGGGAAAAATAAATGTCACTGATCCCTGCGCCTGTGTGAGTGGGGTTGTGGGCCTGCATCCCCCTTAGGCCTATAGAACTCTACAGCTGGTGAGACTTAGTAGATGGTACCATATCAATATATATATAGTAGCTCACCCAGAAATTTACATTTCTTTACATTCAACACTGGCTTTTTTATGAAATTTAACACATTGGGAACAATTTTATAACCTAGCGTTCAGTTACTTGGATCATTTTTTTTTTTAATTTAAATTATATATATACTGTATATATGATTACCTCTGTTTTCAGTACTTTTCAGGGTATACTGTATATGGAAAGAGCATTATTTTCTGCAGAAAAAATGAAAAAGGAATAACCCTAAAGCACAACTTATGACCCGGTTTTAATTTGGCGTATTTGATATTAGAAAATGGAGAGTAATTATTTTTAAATTAGCCACTAAAGAGTAGGACATTTTCTCTAGTAACAAAATAAATTGTTTTTTAATCCCATGTTGAACCAGAGGTACACACAGAAATCACAATATCGTGATACATCAAATGAACAAATCCATATGGGCCGTCATGAGGGTTCGAACCTATGTCTGGAATGATCCCAAACGCGTCATAGTCGACTGTGCCACGACATGCAAAAGAATTGCAACCTGGAATGCTACTTGCCCTCACAAGGCTCCCGCAGCTTCTCCGAAGCACAGACCAGGGTTTTACACAATTCCCCCATGCATCCGGGCTCTGTCAACTAAATAGTTCTACCTCTTCAGCCTTACTTCAATACACACAGAAATTACAAGCTGCAGGAGCCTCATGAGGGCAAGTAGCACTCGAGGTTGCAATTCTTTTCCATGTGAGTCGACTAAGGCGCGTCTGCGATCATCCCAGATCGCACAGTCGACTAAGGCGCGTCTGCGATCATCCCAGACATAGGTTCGAACCCTCATCACGGCCCTTGTGGATTTGTTAAATTGAACCAGAGGTGTTCCAGCCCCAAGGGTTAAGGGGCATAATTGCCACATCTATAGTGATGTTACAAGAAGAAAATTGACGCCTTTTGAGTGAAAATTTGTTACTTGATTAATGTAACTGGTTCCAGTGCTTGGCTTGAGGCCTAAATATAATTATGAATATAATATTCTAGTAACTAAATATAATTATAATATAAACACAATACTGTAATAATACTAATATTTAATTTTAAAATTGACACCAAGAAAAATTAAAATTACTGTATTAGGCTATTATCATTTAAGGTGTGGCATCTGCTAACATTTCAAACAATTATTCGTGACTAGGGCATTCCAAGGCCTACTAAGTGTGTGAGAACTCTTGGCGTTTATATTATTTGCCTAGGAAAATATTTTGACACATTCACAGTCAACATTTAGTTTTCAAGTGAAGTTTTCAAGTATTTTTTAATTTTTATCCTTTTTACCTGAGGCATTAGTATTCATATACTGTATCTTGATCTCTGTCCACAGGTGGCTGATATATGGGAAGACGTGCATTGCCATGCATTAATGTGTAATGGATTAATTTTGTCTGTGTGAAAGCTGATTAATTCTCATGATATTTGTTTATATAGCAGTTATAAATCTGAAACATTATAAGAGAAAGTACATTAATGCTTACATTATTTTTGTATTTACAAATGTATCTGAAACTTGATACGAGAAAGTAAGTGAACGTGTACATTACTGTTGCATTTGGAAATGTTTACATTGTTACTGAAAAGCAATTTTGTTTAGACATGCCTCATGTCAATAGGGAAGAACTTGTGTTTGAGACTCCTGGGTGTGGAGAAGAATGCTCTTTCACCTGTATTTGCAATAAAGACCCAAAATTTTCATCTGAAATGGAAAGTGAACAAAAGGCTCATGCAAAAGGACAGCCATTTAAGTGTGAAGAGTGTGGCATGAGAACAGCTAACAAAATGGGTCTGAAACAGCACATGAGAATCCATAACGACATAAAGCCATTTACATGTTCTGTATGCGAAGATACCTTTGCTACACCTGGTACCTTAAACAGGCATGTGAAATATCATACTAAAGATATGCTTTTTGAATGTGCTGTATGTTCTAAGAAATTCAGTGATAGAATAACTCTCAAAGACCACATTGAAATACATAGAGAAGATTATCCCTTCCAGTGTCTTGAATGTGGAATTGTGTTTAATGAAAATTCTGACTATACAATGCATGAAAAAATTCACTTGGTAGATAAATCTCTAGAATGTGATGTTTGTGGGAAAAAAATTTGTCGGAGTTCTTTGAGGCGACACAAACAAACTCATTCAGAAGATAAACCTCATAAATGCTCAGTTTGTGGAAAAAGTTTTCTTATAATTGGAAATCGCAACAGACACATGAGAACTCACTCTGGAGAGAAGCCATTTGAATGTACCGTATGCTTTAAAAGGTTTACAGAGAAAGGCTCCCTAAAAAAACATATGCCAGTCCATACAGGGAAAGAACCATATCAGTGTTCTGTTTGTGAGAGAAAGTTTACTCAAAAAGGCCATCTTGTGAGACATTTGCGAATTCACACTGGAGAAAAGCCATATGAATGTTCAGTATGTTCCAAACGGTTCAGAGACAAATCAGGCCTTGACATACACATGTCTAATCATACAGGATTAAAACCACACGTTTGCTCAATTTGTAGAGCAAGCTTTTATGAAAAGTCTGTCCTTACCAAACATATGTATGTCCATAATGGGAAACCTCTTGAGTGTTCATTGTGCTTAAAAAAGTTCAGAGATAAAACTGCTCTGAATTCCCATTTGAATAGTCATTTGAAAGAAAAGCCATTTAATTGTCCTATATGCAAAAAGGGGTTTGGTTCTAATAGATACTTAAAAAAACACATTGATGTACACTCAGATGATAAACCATTTTCTTGTTCATTTTGCAGCAAGAAGTTTAATTTGAGAAATTCATATATTAAACATTTGTGCAGTCACATGGAAAAGAAAATGTTTTCATGTTCTATGTGTACAAAGGAATTCTCAGCTATTAGTATGCTGTCAAGACATTTGGAAACACACATTGGGGGTTTGGTTCAAAGTTGTTCATTGTGTGCAAAGGAGTTTTCATGCGTAACAAAGCTTGAAAAACATATGTATCATCACACGTTAAAGAAGCCTTTTGAATGTCCAGAGTGTAAGAAGCTATTCATTACACAGTTGGGACTTAATAAACACTTATATACCCACAAAGAGGCAAAATACAACTGCTCAGAGTGTGGTAAGGGCTTTGTAACAAAAGGAGGACTGTTTAAACATCTACGTAATGGTTTTAGAAATCAGGAATTCTTTAAAGTCTGCACTCAGTGTAAATGCTCGTTCAGCTCGATTTTACTTTTTAAGCAACATATGCTTACTCACGATAAAATGAAATTAGCTAATGATTGTGCATCTGACAACAGAGAGAGTAATGGAAACTCGGAATCCATGTTATCTGACAAAGAAAGCATGGAACATTCAGATAAACTTGACATTATGGATGGGTCAGTCATAAATGAACAGAAGATCACAGTTGATTATATTAAGAATGAGACCTTGGATACATTTGAGATCAATAATTCACCTTTCAGTTGTGCATATTTAGGAAACGGATCTTGTTCTAAAAATAACGTATTATCAAATTCTAAAGAGAAACTACATTTTCAGTGTTCGTTTTGTACAAAGAAATTTAAATACAAAAGCAGATTAAATAGTCATCTCATAACTCATACAGGAGAGAGATCTCATCAGTGCTTGATTTGCAAGAAGTGCTTTTCTGCTAAACACATTCTTAAGAAGCACACAAAAATTCACATTAGAGAAAATGTATTTACATGTGTATTTTGTTGCAAGGAATTTGCGGCTGATGCTCATCTCGCAGTACATCTGCGTAGCCATTCTGGAGAAAAGCCATTTTCTTGCACTTCTTGTAACAAGAGGTTTGCAACCAATGGTGGTTTAAAGAGACATATGCTAATTCATGCTGGTGACAAAATATTTGAATGCAATATATGTGAGAAATGTTTTTCTAGACCAGATCTTCTCAAGAGACATATGGTGACTCATAATGGAGGGAGACAATTGAAGTGTTTCGTATGTTCTGCGAGGTTTAAAGAAAAGGATACACTGAGAAGACATGTAAGTAAACATACTAGTGATGAACCTTATTATCTTGAAACGCACTACTTAGCAAATTCGTTTGAATGTTTGCAGTGTGAGTGTATATTTAGCACCAGTACTCATTTTGAGGAACACATGATAACTCATGAAATGGAACTTGAAGATAAAGTGGTAGAAAAGTTGTCACAGTGTGTTGAAGTAGAAATTGAAGAATATAGTGATGATGAGATTAGTTTAGATAATTTACCCAAAAATGAAACATTAGTGAAGACTACTTATATTAAAACTGAGATTGAGACTGACTCTGTGACGTAAATTTTGTCTCTTTTGTTGTATAGAAATGTTATTTTAGGAATATTTTCTTGAAGGAATTATGACAACAATGGTGGTGACAAAAGGATTGCTATTATGAGCAGTGTCATGTTTGAAGGAAATTGTTCATTTAGGCATATGGAAATATTTGTTTTTTAATTTTATCTGAGCATCAGGAACTAACACATATAAAAGCAATGTCAGTAGGATATTATGCATGTGGGTGCTGTGTGTTGTTACGAAAGTCATGGAGAGATATAAAACAAAATTTGCAAGAAATTGGAGTTAAAGTAAATGATGTATTAAGGAACACTGATATTGTATTTATTTTGTATATTTGTTGTATTGTCATCCATTAGGATAACTCATAAGTTTATAAAACTTAAGTGGTTTGCTTTTGGATAGTCTATACTATACAGTTTTAATTTTCCTCTCATCTGTTCTCTTTTGTATATCAGGATTATTTATTTTGTTTCGTATTTCTTACATACGAGTCAAGTTGGAACCTAGAAGAGTTCCAGATGTTCTAAATAACAAGTGGTATATAGATACTCTACAGTGTTCTAGGTTTGCAATAGATAACTTCTCCACTGACCTCACAAACCACATCCAACCTATCCGTCTTTGCATAGCCAAAAATATTTCCCACATTAATTGCAATTTAAACTGTCTTTGAAACAGGTAGTTATCCATGGAGTCTAATGTAGCATATATTATTTAACCACATTAATTTATATTTCTTACATTAGAAATCTATGAGGCTTTGTTTATAAACCCTATAAATAACGTGATTAGTCATACAGAGATGATCCCTGTTATGTTTTTTTTATACATTTTATTTGTAAAACCCCTATTTTATATATACTGTGTGTGTGTGTATATATATATAAATATATATATATATATATATATTAATATCGCGTGTTTATTTTTAATCACGTGTTTATTTAATTATAATCACATGTTTATTTTTCCTGATTTACACACACATATTATATATATATATATATATATATATATATATATATATATATATATATATATATATATATATATATATATTTATTTATTTATTTTTATTTTTCTAAACTTTATTACAAAAAAGGAGTTACATATAAGGTACAAAGATGATTATCATAAGTTGTCGAGTTCCTCCAGCTCCTCAGATGGCGGGGCAGGAACCCTGAATGCAGTGCCTATTCAGCAAAAAACAACCAAAAGAGACAAAGAAAATAGTTTGAAATTTGTGAATAACTCGGCCCAAAACAGAATAAAAGTCTCAAGTTCTGCCACCTGTGGCTGAATTACATGTTGACCAATTTCATTCCAACTTCACATACTTAGTGACGGATATGCATTTTCCAAAGATGAAGACGCCACAACAAAATCAGATGAGACACAAAGGAGAAAAAAAAACTTAAAAACAAATTGGTGGACATAAGAAATATTGGTATTGTGCAATGTATTTATATGATATATAATAAAACACAGCAGCATAACATTATTATTTGTGTGAAATTTTGCTCTACAGGTGGCAATCAGCAATCTTAGAAGGCACCAGCTGCGTATCCACTTTGTAGACAGTTTTCACTACTGTATATTTCATATTTGGACAAATATTTTTTGAGCTCCAGCCCTTTAATTACTTACCCTAAAGTACTTTTGATATTGTTCGCCTTAGGCGTTTCTGTTCTCGTATTAGCATCTTTGGTGATATTTAGCACCTTCTGATTAACTCGCACAGCCTTCCCGGTTTGGTGCCTTCTTTTGGTAATTACTTACTTACCCTAAAGTAAGTAATTATAATTGGACATCAATGTGTTTTGTTAAACATTTTGTTACTACAACTTCAATCATACTAGCTTGGTTACTTTAATTAGTAAGGTGAATTAAAAAGATAAATGATAGAATGGGAATTGTTTCAAAACAGCATATTGATACCATCAAAAATTGGTTTAAAACATTCTTTGACTAATATGCTCTAACGTGGAAATAAAAAGGCATTCAATTATGAACTGATTTACAAAACAAGGTATTTACTGCACATTTCAGGAACTCTGGAATTTATTCACCAGCATATAATCCATGCTTTTTCCTTCTAAATATCTCTTGAACTAATAACACATGCCTCTGGCCTATTTCTATCTCTATTTAGTGATACAGTATTTCTCATATTTCTTAGCAGGAGATTGAAGATTTGTGGACCTCTAATGTTTCCTATGTGTGCTCTAATCATGCCTATGTGCCCGCTTTTCTTTGGATTTATTTTACACGTTCTACTACATCTTGTATACCTGTTTGTGTTATTAGATGTACAAATGGAGGAAAGTGTATAACAAAAAGGGATATTAATAAGCTGTTAATAGTATCAAAGACAAGATAACCCACAAAACAATGGATATACATTGGATGAGTTTAGATTTAAGAAAGACGAGGGTAAATACTAGTTTGGAAATGGCTGGTGATTTTGTAGAACATTACGAGAACGTGAAAAATGTAGAAACACTCAAATGATGGTTTCAACATAAGTTAGACATGTCATGCCTAATAACCAGAACTGCACTACTTAGCCTAGTATGCAAGACTCAATTTGCCTAACAGGTGGTGATGTTTGTTATTTTTTATATATTTTCTTTCAAATAGGTTTATTCCAATTAATATTAAGAACATAATAATGAAGGTATGCAGAAGACCTATTGGCCCATATGAGGCAGCTCCGATTTATATCCACTCAATCTCATATATATAATATATATATATATATATATGTCGTACCTAGTAGCCAGAACTCACTTTTTGGCCTACTATTCAAGGCCCGATTTGCCTAATAAGCCAAGTTTTCCTGAATTAATATATTTTTTCTAATTTTTTTCTTATGAAATGATAAAGCTACCCATTTCATTATGTATGAGGTCATTTTTTTTTTATTGGAGTTAAAATTAACGTAGATATATGACCGAACCTAACCAACCCTACCTAACCTAACCTATCTTTATAGGTTAGGTTTGGTTAGGTAGCCGAAAAACAATTCATGAAAACTTGGCTTATTAGGCAAATTGGGCCTTGCATAGTAGGCTGAGAAGTGCGTTCTGGCTATTAGGTACGACATATATATATATATATATATATATATATATATATATATATATATATATATATATATATATATATATAACTGAAAACTCACACCCCAGAAGTGACTCGAACCCATACTCCCAGGAGCCATGCAACTGCTATGTACAAGACGCCTTAATCCACTTGACCATCACGACCGGACAAAATGAGGTGATAGCCAAGGCTATTTGAACCACCCCACCGCCGGCACTCGGATAGTAATCTTGGGCATAGCATTTTACCAAATCACCTCATTCTTTGGGGCACACGTGAGGAACACAAATGCGAACAAGCCTGAATGGTCCCCAGGACAATATGCAACTGAAAACTCACACCCCAGAAGTGACTCGAACCCATACTCCCAGGAGCCATGCAACTGGTATGTACAAGACGCCTTAATCCACTTGACCATCACGACCGGACAAAATGAGGTGATAGCCGAGGCTATTTGAATAACCCCACCGCCGGCACTCGGATAGTAATCTTGGGCATAGCATTTTACCAAATCACCTCATTCTTTGGGGCACACGTGAGGAACACAAATGCGAACAAGCCTGAATGGTCCCCAGGACAATATGCAACTGAAAACTCACACCCCAGAAGTGACTCGAACCCATACTCCCAGGAGCCATGCAACTGGTATGTACAAGACGCCTTAATCCACTTGACCATCACGACCGGACAAAATGAGGTGATAGCCAAGGCTATTTGAAACACCCCACCGCCGGCACTCTGATAGTAATCTTGGGCATAGCATTTTACCAAATCACCTCATTCTTTGGGGCACACGTGAGGAACACAAATGCGAACAAGCCTGAATGGTCCCCAGGACAATATGCAACTGAAAACTCACACCCCAGAAGTGACTCGAACCCATACTCCCAGGAGCCATGCAACTGGTATGTACAAGACGCCTTAATCCACTTGACCATCACGACCGGACAAAATGAGGTGATAGCCAAGGCTATTTGAACCACCCCACCGCCGGCACTCGGATAGTAATCTTGGGCATAGCATTTTACCAAATCACCTCATTCTTTGGGGCACACGTGAGGAACACAAATGCGAACAAGCCTGAATGGTCCCCAGGACAATATGCAACTGAAAACTCTATGGCTATCACCTCATTTTGTCCGGTCGTGATGGTCAAGTGGATTAAGACGTCTTGTACATACCAGTTGCATGGCTCCTGGGAGTATGGGTTCGAGTCACTTCTGGGGTGTGAGTTTTCAGTTGCATATTGTCCTGGGGACCATTCAGGCTTGTTCGCATTTGTGTTCCTCACGTGTGCCCCAAAGAATGAGGTGATTTGGTAAAATGCTATGCCCAAGATTACTATCCGAGTGCCGGCGGTGGGGTTATTCAAATAGCCTCGGCTATCACCTCATTTTGTCCGGTCGTGATGGTCAAGTGGATTAAGGCGTCTTGTACATACCAGTTGCATGGCTCCTGGGAGTATGGGTTCGAGTCACTTCTGGGGTGTGAGTTTTCAGTTGCATATTGTCCTGGGGACCATTCAGGCTTGTTCGCATATATATATATATATATATATATATATATATATATATATATATATATATTGTGACGGTAAAGTGTTGGAGTGTTGATGTTCGGCAGTCCTGCAATGGCAGGTGTCAAAGCCTTGTCACGCTTACAGGAAAAAAAAAAAAAAGACTGCTTGCCTGTGGTAAGGTAATGGGAAGACAACACAAAATATAAATAATGAAATTTTAATTACTTTAGAAAACAAGATATGAACAAAGACAATCCCTTGGCTTACGTAAAATTCAAAACAAGTCAACAAACAAAACAACATGAATAATTAATAGATGTGAAATTTACTCTAAAACAAAATAATGTACAAGACTAATAATAATAATCAGGTGCTGAGAATATTGGCTAGAGCTGCCACCTCCCTTAGTACACAACAGCCAGGGCTTAGTCTACCAGAGAAATGTCAACTTCTAAGAGCACAGAGATATTCTGAGGAGGACGGCGTGAGCTGGCCCAGACGTCGACTCAGGTAGAGGGCGTAAGTGCAGGTGCTGTCGGCGATACACCAGCCAATCAGGAGCAGGCAGGCGGAGAATGGGTAGTTTGCTCGTTGACGACGAGTGGAGAGCTGGTGTGTCTGGTGGTGCAAGGTACGCTTTGCTTCCTGGGCAAAACGTTTTGTGATACTGGTGGACGTATCTTCAATATAGTATCTTGTACTTGTAGAATGACGTAAATGATAGGGAAGAGCAGGCTCAATCTCTCTTGAAAGAGATTATCGTCACACACATTATATATATATATATATATATATATATATATATATATATATATATATATATATATATATATATAATGTGCAACAGACTTCAACCTGCTATGTGCAATGTTATGACTTTTTGGCAATAGACTTCAACCTGCTAAGTGCAACGTTATGACATTTCGAAAACAGAATTCAATCGGCTAAGTGCAACGTTATGACATTTCAGAAATCAAATCATATCAATCAAATGTTTATTTAGCTAAGGTACATACATACAAGAGATTATACAAAGAGTGATGAATTTATAGTTAGGGTTATAACATACAATGCCTAAAGCCACTATTACGCAAAGCGTTTCGGGCATGAAAAACTTAAATGACTAAAGCTTAATACTAATTGAGCATAAAGAGTAAAATGAAAACATGGAATGAAAACATAGCTGAAAAAGCAGCACAAATACAATTCTGTCGACAAACAGCGCTCTTTAAAAAAAAACAGACATTG